CACCCCACATCTCAAAGAACTCCAATTACAGTACAGGTGAGTAACTTCTCAGTCTTCTCTGAGTGACTGTCCATATGGATATTTCATTATTGGTGACTCCCAAACAGTGGACCACTGCATTGGAGGTGATAGGTCAGAGTCTAGAAGAATGAAGATTGGAATACTGCCTTGCCAAATGTAGAGTCTGACCTGGAGGCTTTTGTAAATCTATAGAGCTGAGTGAATATGTGAACACAGCCCCAGGTAGCTGGCTTGCTGATTCTGCTTGCGCTCTTGTAGAGGAAGCTTTAAGAGGCAATAGGCAGGCCCTACTTCACTATGCCAGAAAAAACTTTCACACAGCCAGATCTCCATTTAGGAAATGTTGGGGAGATATAACTTTGCCTGTCGTCCTTTCCACAATTGCTATAAAGTGTCTTGGTGAAGATCTGAATTGCTTCATCCTTTGCGGATAGACCAGCCCTGGCATTCTAACATCCAATGTGTGGAGAGCAGCCTCCACCTTGCAAGCATGAGGATTAGGAAAAATACAGGTAAGTGAATTTGCTGGGTTAGATAGATCTTCATAATGCTGTTCTTTGATAAATACTTCAGGGGTGTTCTTCAAGGATACACTATCAGGATGGAAGGCTGCATAAGAAGGGTCAGCTATTAGGACTTTGATCTCTTCCAACCTTCTCGTTGAGATAATGGCCCGTGACTACCTACCCATGATTTGGTGAGCAATGTCTGTGGTTGTGCAGCAGTTCCAGAGTTTATATACCAGGAGTAGTTTGGATGCCAAAATAGCAAGAATTTCTTACCTTTGAGGGCATTGTTAACCCATTCATTAGTTCCCAGGCCAGAGTATTTCTGTGTGTGAGAAAACATGCTCACAAGATCCCAAAACAGAGAGAGAAAGAGAGAGAATGAATATATGTATTAGGGCTGTCAAACTATAAAAAAGATTAATTGCACTGTTAAACAATAGAATACCATTGATTTAAACAGTTTTGGATGTTGTTCTAAATTTTCAAATATATTGATTTCAATTACAACACAGAATACAAGATGTACAGTGCTCACTTTTTATTTTGTATGATAAGTGTTTGCACTGTAAAAAACAAAAGTAATAGTATTTTTCACTTCATACAAGTACTGTAGTGCAATCTCTATCATGAAAGTTGAACTTACAAATGTAGAATTATGTACAAAAAACTGCATTCAAAAATTAAACAATATAAAACTTTAGAGTTTACAAGTCCACTCAGTCCTACTTTTTGTTCAGCCAATCACCCAAACAAGTTTGTTTACATTTGCAGGAGATAAGGATGCAGGGTTCTTGTTTACAGTGTCACCTGAAAGAGAGAACAGGTGTTCACATGGCACTGTTGTAGATGGCATCCGCAAGATATTTATGTGCCAGATGCATTAAAGATTCATATGTCCCTTCCTGCTTCAACCACCATTCCAGAGGATGTACGTCCATGCTGATAGCGGGTTCTGCTTGATATACATCCAAAACAGTGCGGACCAACGCATGTTCATTTTCGTCCTCTGAGTCAGATGCCATCAGCAGAAGATTGATTTTTTTTTTTGGTGGTTCGGGTTCTGTAGTTTCTGCATCTGCGTGTTGCTCTTTTAAGACTTCTGAAAGCATGCTCCACACCTCGTTCCTCTCTGATTTTGGAAGGCACTTCAGATTCTTAAACCGTGGGTTGAGTGATGTAGCAATCTTTAGAAATCTCACATTGGTACCTTCTTTGCATTTTGTCAAATCTGCAGTGAAAGTATTCTTAAAAGGAACAACATGTCCTGGGTCACCATCCAAGACAGCTATAACATGAAATATATGGCAGAATGCTGGTAAAACATACAATTCTCCCCCAAGGAGTTCAGCCACAAATTTAATTAATGCATTTTTTTTTTAAACAAGCATCATCAGCATGTCCTCTGGAATGGTGGCCGAAGCATGAAGGGGCAGACAAATGTTTAGCATATCTGGCATGTAAATACCTTGCAACACCAGTTAAAAAAAGTGCCATGTGAATGCCTGTTCTCACTTTCAGGTGACATTGTAAATAAGAAGCAGGCAGCATTATCTCCCATAAATGTAAACAAACTTGTTTGTCTTAGCGATTAGCTGAACAAGAGGTAGGATTGGGTGGACTTGTAGGCTCTAAAGTTTTACATTGTTTTGTTTTTGAGTGAAGTTATGTAACAAACAAAAAAATCTACATTTGTAAGTTGCACTTTTACCATAAAGAGATTGCACTACAGTACTTGTATGAGATGAATTGAAAAATACTATTTCTTTTGTTTGCCATTTTTACAGTGCAAATATTTTTAATAAAATATAAAGTGTGCACTGTCTACTTTGTATACTGTGTTCTAATTGAAATCAATATTTGAAAATGTAGAAAAACATCCAAAAATATTTTTAAAATTTCAATTGATATTCTATTGTTTAGCAGTGTGATTAAAACTGCGATTAATTTTTTGAGTTAATTGCATGAGTAAACTGCAATTGACAGCCCGTGTGTGTGTATGTATGTGTGTGTATGTGTGTGTATATATATATATATATATATATATATATATATATAAAAAGAAGAGAG